AAAAAAAAAGAAGCAAAATAAATAAATAAATAATAATAATGATAACAACAATAACAATAATAATAACAAAATGCATATCATTTTCATTAATTCTGCAATATATTTTAAGAAAGAGTGACTACCTGATTACTTTTCGCTCATATTCAGCGCGCATTAACACAGTTAAGTAACCAATCTCAATGGGAAAAACTGAGAGAGTATATATATATTGACTGCAAATGAAATATGCTTCGTTTAGACTGTTATAGCCCTTAGTTTTTTATTCCTACCTAATTCTCACTTTGTTTGTTAGGTCAAAGAGAATAAAATTTGAAAGATTTGCATCAACAAGGTATTACGAAAAAGATATTCATCTTACTAAAGTTCATGTTATCAGTTTGAGTTTAAAAAGAAGAGGACTTATCCGCCGATTCTCCTACAATAAGTTTCATCGGGAGAGAGAATTTAATATAAACCCGTAATTGTCGCTTTAAGTTATAAGCATTGCCCCAAAATGGAAAAGTTAAAATTGCTCTGAATTCGGCCTCATTATAGAGAAGCTTGTCGCACTTCATTCATCCCATTCAAGATTTTTCCGAGTCTTTCAATTTTCAGTTGCATAATTTGCTTGGTATACTGCGAAGAACATATCAATTTGATACGAATTTCATGGTTAGATTTTAGTTGCACTTGGCATTAATAATGAATAAATTAAGATTCGTCTGATGCCAGTCCCTCCTCTGCCACCATACTATGGGCAGACGTGCCTACATCTTCTCATAATTATTTCATTATTCAAGAGACTAATGAACTAAGAGAAGGAATTCCCCCTATATAGCCTTGTAACCATCATGTGCACAGTTTGATGCTATTTTTAAAACATTTGTTTTTCTGCACGCGCATTTACTGCGCTCTATACGCTGCTTGCTTACGTTTTTGTGCTTTTCCGTTATTTCGACTCTGCCGTGGATATGAAGGTGCACGTCGAAAGCTTGGCAAATATGACAGGAAATTGAAGTAGTAATTTGTTCAATTTTCTGGAGTATTTTTACATTTATTTTCCAAAGTTTTCGACCTACATC